AGCCACTCAGTTTGTAGTTTTGTGTTATGGCTGCCGTAGCAAATTGATATACTTTCCTTTACAAAAATTCACTTGAAGCCTACCCAGCTGGTACTTCCAGATAGCCCATCTGGTCCCAAGATCCCTTCTGGGGGGTGTTTTGTCATGAGATGCTGGCCCTGATGACCCTACCGCAGGGTCAAGCCTGAGGTAGAGAAGGTCTCCTCAGTCTTCAATTTCTGTACTTCCAGCCTAGGGTCTTCTCAGTAGCTTCAGTACCTTCCGACCTTCTGAACAAGGAAGATCACTTCTGCCACTTTCCCTTCCTCTCCACCCTGCCCCATGCATCCGTCTCCTTTTTCTCTACTTCTCTTCTTGTTCCCACAAAGCAGCTGTGCAGGCTTCAGTAGGGCTGCCCAAGGAACTCTTAGTTTCCCTTTCCCTTCTCTCCAAAGCCTCACCCCTAATGCGAAATGAAGCTGTCTTCTCAGGTCCCACTCTGGGGAAAAGTTACATTTTCTTTTACTCCCTGTCTTTCCTGCCATATCCTCCCAGATGGCTTTCCCTTACTCCATGCTGATGGAATGTTTAATTATTCATCCAAAGGGTATTAATTAACCACGTGTGAAGCACTGTGCTAGCAGCCTCAGGAGTGCCTGAGATGGAGAACACCTGTGCTTCAAGAAAATGGAAAATTGGTAATCATTTAAAGGTGATAGGTAAGTTTGTCCTTAGGCTAACTCCATGGATTTATCTGGGCTTCCTGGAGGTTTAGACTTCTAAGGCATCTTGGCTCCATGGGACAGAGTGCTATGGAGATGAACGATATCTGCATGAACGTGAGACAGGAGATGCCAGCATAGGAAGACCAAGTGTTTGCCATCTCTGAGGTACAGGGACTCAGATCTGGATTCAGACTCCGGCTCCATGTATTATTATCAAGTGAACTTGGGAAAGTCGTGACCTCTTGCAACCTCAGGGCAATTTAACCTGAGTGTCTGAATAATTAAATATTTTAACAAGTAAATGATAAACAATGAAACCCTAGCATATATAGGTATTTTATGTTGATTGATTTTGTCTGGATATAATGGGGTTGAGGAAGAGATAAGACCAGAACCAAAATAATTATAGCATAAGGCAGAATAGATTGTGAGAGCAGTAGGGAGTATAGAGTGTCATGGGAATTCTGAGGCTACTTCAATTGACCTTATTTCCCTGGTCTTGAAAGGTGGGGGAGCTTGTTTGGAGAGAACAAACACATCAAAGTCTGAGGAGGGAATTTGAAGAGAGTGGGGCATAGTCATGAGCCTATGGTAATGGGAGAGAAGCCTGGAAAGAAGGTTGGAACAAGAACAGAGAGCCTTGAATTCCTCACTTTAAAAAGTTGGGATTTCACTAAACATAGAAACCTCCATAGCAAAGTCAAGTTTCACAGCAAACTAGTACTATATCATTTGCATTTAAGAGAACGACAACTAGAAACAAATTTTTGACTGTATAATTCTCTATGGATTAACAACTGAGTTATGCTGGTACAGGAACAGCCTCTTCCTTCCGAGTAAGACTAATTAGCCATGACAAAAGTTACCATTTCTGATCACTATTTATGTATTTGGTGTATGACGAGGTGGCCTTGACAGCTTCATATTAGCACATTGAACACTATTATGGGAACTGAAATTTTAAAAGCTAATCTGCCCAAAATCACACAGCAGCAAGTGGAAAGGCAGGACTGGCACCAAGATTTGAACTCAGTTTGAGGCTGGACACCAAGCACACGATACTACATTTTGCCATTACAGGAGGGGTCGGTGAGGGAATATAGCTACAGACTAACAATACAGGGGGTGCTGACTGCTTCTAAGTTATGATTTCGCACACACGAAAAAGTCCAAATGACACTGAAAATTTCAGAAAGGACTTCTTTGTTCTGTGGTCGATTAGCATTTAATCCTGTCTGCAATAAAAAATAATAAAAATTACCTAAACTGTGGGTCTGTTTTTCTGTCTGATTATTGACATGTTCCTGGCCACATAATTCCTTCCAGATTTTAAAAGGATTCCTCTTCATTACAGGTTACTTTTAGCTGTCCCTTTCCTTTCAGGAGATACTTGTGCAGGTACAAATGCTACTTCAATAAAGGAAATCAAAATTGAAGGTGTTTTGTGTGCCTACCACATTCTTAACAGGATATAAGATTATGTGGTTCAGAATGGTTCTTTTTTTAAAGCTGGAAAACTGTCAGACTCTATGCAGGATCTGCTGATATGGACAATACCTCTGGATCACAAAAGATGCTCCAGCCATAGACAGTCCTGAACTAACAAGCACAAGTCTCCTTCCTCTAAGTGAGTGAAAGAACTTAACTCTGTTCTAGACGCAAGTGACTATAAGGACTGAAAGGCAGAATCATGAACATTTCATGATGAAATAACCTCTCTTTCAAACGTAAGCCAGCAAGAATACAAACCACTTTCTTGGGATTCTTCAGATCAAGCCTGCGAATTACTGTATTGTTCTTGTTAATTTTTAGAGAATCTCTTTTAGGAGGAAACATGCCAGTTATATTAGATTGAACCACATTAATGCTATTTGACCACTATTTTGCTCACAAAAAATGGTTATTTCACATGAGTCAACTTAATATCAATGATAGCAATGTGCAGAATTCTCAAAATGTTTTCCATTTATATTTTTCAATTTAAATGAAGACCTTGAATTGTAAGAATAAAATAAGAAAATACAGCGCATACTAAATTCTTAATAAATGTTGAATTTTCAAGTATGTAAACCCCGATGACCTGAAAGTTTTGCATGGGTCTTATGCATTTTAGGTACAAAACATTCTAATATCAAGTACTTTAACACTTTAAAGTTTAATTTCACTAAGGTTGAAAAAATTCAAAAAATCCATTTGATTTCTATATTTACATTTTTATTAGAATTCTTCAGAACTGTCAACAATTAGACAACATATCAGAAAAAAAAAAACACGTGGAACACCAACATCTTTTAAACTTGCACCGCTTACATATTTACACATAAAGTTACTATATATATATAAAAAATATTTTCAAGGACTCATGGGCTTGGGGATATTCAAAAGACATTATTGCTACATTTCAATATTTACAAAAAAGCCACAAAATAATTTCAAACATCAAGCCACTGCAAAGAAACATCTGATATAAAAAAAAATTATAAAAATATAAACTTTCAAGACTATCCAAGACAGACCTCTCAGTGAAGTGCCCTTGAAGTACCTGGACACCTACAGTTAACAACCATTTTCTTACTATAACCAAAATCAATAGAAACACAAAGGAAATTTTTAGACAAAGTATGGCAAACAGTGACAATCTCTTATGTTGAAACAAAAACCCCAAAACCTGTTACTTTGGAAAGGTGCGAGAGCATAGAACTCCAGTGCAAATGGTTACTTCTAGATAAGTGGCCACAGTTCTCTAAATATTATCTAAGGGACGGACCTAGGAGGGGAAAATCGTGAAAGCAGCATACTTGAATCCTGCAAGACAACACATAAACCTTGCCATGTACACATGGACCTCTTACAGTTGGGTAGTGATGGGGAAGCGGGGGGAAAGTAAACTCTTAATAATAATATCCAGGCAATTACCTAAAGTGTAAAATTTAAATATGTTTAATTGGAAGAGTAGCATTAATAAAGTCTAAGGAACAGGTACAGTATGTTGAGTCTAAATAAGAGAGTGCCTTAAGTGCAGGTGGACCACAGATAAATAGGAACTTAGGCACTCTGTTTCCTATATGCCTCTATGCAAGCTCTTGGTAAGCTTCTCGGGACAGCCAGGTGAAGGAGACCAAGAACAGTACTGACGATGAAAGCAAACTACTTCTGGGAGACTAAAGGACCTTCTTGGGCTCAGGGTAAGAACAGCGCCAAAATATTTGTCTACAAGCATACACGCGTGTGCACACACATACACACTTATATACTGGCCCTGCGTTCAGGACATGCCTGCAAAGGAGGTTGAATCTAAATTTTATTTCCTGCTACAAAAGAATCCAAATTAGGACAGCACTGTCTTCTCACTTCTGCCAGAGTCACGCAGTACATCTTTTTCAAATGGCATCAAATCTATTCAGCACAATGCCATTCTGAAGCTGGTAGGCTTGTTCTGGACAATCTTTAGAGCAAATTCATCAGCTACAAAAGGAGATTTTTGTTAAGATTGTGCTTGATAGTTATGTTTTTTCTTTAAAAAAAAAAAAAGCACTGTGTCCTTCAAATTTGTCTGGCTCTTCTTCTATCCCTACGTATGGCAGACTAGAGCCAGAGCTGTATCCACGAACAACAGTTGGTGGGTTTTCTCCCCTCAGACATATGAACATGTACAATCGATAGGTGAGTATATACAAATGCTGGCTGGGGAGGCCCTTGCTCCAACTCAGCTCCCTAATAGCAAAATCTCGTGAGAAAGGTCAGCAGCATGAAGGCTCACACACCGCAACGAGTCACCCTTCATGTCCAGGGAGCATTTCTTCATGGCCCATGTCTCATTCTTAGCATGAAACACTAGATATCTTAGGCCTAGATATTCATAGACTTCTGACCTTTGTCCTAATAACATTCCATTTTCCACATCAAGGACTTAGGTTTCAGCTTCTAATCTTGCTGTACCATCATATCATTATGGGTGGTTACAAGGGCCGAAGGTAACTAATGCCTTTTATTTAAAGAAACTTCTCAACCATACTTTTCATACTTCTCTATATTAGAGAAGCCTCAGAAAGGACTTCCCACCCTCCCTTTCTCGAAGTCAGTCTTTTTTTCGTTAATGGGAGCTACTCTGCTGTCAGGAATATACGCAGTTCAAACCCTGGCATGGGGATAGGAGCTGATGACAATCACCAGCCACTAAAGTGTGCTCATAGAGAGAATTATAGCGGGTGTTCACTACCCTGGAGTAGGATGCAAGTCGAAAAAAAACGAAATAATCATAGAAACCAAACAAACAAGAATCACTCCACTGCGGAGACTCGCAGATATCCATTCTGCTTCAGACGTCTTCATGTACGAGCAGAGGCTGCGTGGACGAGGCGCTGCTGCCCACGGAATTGATCCGTACGGAATGGTCCACCACAGCACTCTCCTGGTTGGGGCTCCAGTTTGCTAAGTTGGAATAAATCTGAGAAAAACAAGTCCACAGTCAATACATCAGTCTCTACAATGAACACAGTGACAAAGGGAAATGTTTGCAGCTTCAGAATTGCAAATAACTTGAGGAAGACTCAACGAGAGGAAGTTTAAAGACCTTTGCAGCCAAAAACCAAATCATACTGGAAAACAAAACCCAACCCACAAGTTTTGTTTTACCCCTCATTTTTCCCAAGGTCTGATTACAAAAGAAGTGATAGCAAAAAAAAATGTGCTTTTCTGCTGAGGCACTTCTAGAAACAGGTGCTATCTAACCTGTTAAAAAGGGTTATAAACCACGGTAGCCAACTACAACCCAACAGCCGATGTAATTTGCTGAGAAATCAGTGGCCCTTCAATAGATCTTCCATTAGGAATCAAGCACTTAGGTGAAAAATGCTAGTTAATTTTGAAATACACTTTGACATGCAGAAGAGTAAGCTTTAACACAAAAGTATCGGTGGTGTACACTTGGGAAAGAAAAGATAACTCCAAGCACACAATCCGGAAAAAAAAATCAGCTTAAAAAAATCTGAGTCAAAATAAGGATTACTATCTTCCTTAAAAGCAGAAGAAATAAAGGGTTTGGGTTTTGAATTCCCCACCTCCCCAAATCACTGGGAGGGATCTCCCAACTTCAAACAGCTCTTCATTCTATATGGCTTGTGGGCATGACAGCTATCTGCCATTTTCTGGCTATGCTTGTTTGAGCAGAAGGCTTATTTCACTGCAGTAACAAGCTGTTTTTTCTATGTTTTTATTCTAGTTCACACCATCCCAACCCTCTAAAGGCTGAATGGCCCTGACATGTGAGAGAGGGCCCAGGCCGACCCCATGACCAGCATTTGGGGTGGGGGAGGAAATGTGGCAAATCCGTATGGAAACTTCTACTTTCACACTTCCGAGTGTAGAGCCCTCTACTCTTTCTCCTCATCTCACATCCTTCTTTGGCTCAGAACAGGGGGGCTGGACAGAAAGAACTTGTTTCCCTTGCTTTTACTTTCCCACCCAAAGGCCAATTTGCAGCCTAAGCCAAGGAGAGAAGGGGTGGAGAGGTTAGTCCTCACCCCACAGAGTCTGAGAAAAAGGATACACCGGGAACAGAGAGAAGGGAGATCCTAAGCCTGGCAGAGTGTACTCACATGATTGGTGCTGTCTGAAATCTGCTTCTCGATCAGCTGAACGATCTGCTTGAATGTCGGCCTTTTTAGAGGATCAGCATCCCAGCAAGTTTTCATTATGGCATACCTGCGAAACGAGGGCCATTTTCCAATACTCCCCAATACCCCTCATTTGTCTTCAGGTGTATGTCATGCGATAATTTCAAAAATAATTCCAGGGTTAGGCAACTGGACATATTAAGTGACATGTGCATAATGTGCTATGTATGAAATGCTGCCGAAACTGGCTCTGTATTTGGTGACAAGAGATTGTGAAAATATGCTACAGAAATGACATTTGACCAGGGTATCCTATAAAGGAACCAAGTAACATTTCAAATTGTGCTAGTTGAAAACATTCAACATCTGGGTCTCTGTCTTTAAAAATAAAAATAAAAGGAGAAACATTATATGAAGAAAAAACATCTTGGCTCTTACATTTCGGCGGGTGCATGCTCAGGGCTCAGCATTCGGAAACCTTCCTTGATCATCTTGTAGAACTTAGAATCCACTGGCATTCCAGGGTAGGGGCTGCTTCCTGAGGCACAAATGGTTTGTAAATCGGTGTTAAGAATAAGCAAGCAGGGCATTGATAAAACCTTTAAAAGATTCTCTGAGTCTATTAAAGTGCCTTTGGCAGGGTCATTTTACCTAAGGAGAACAGCTCCCACAGAAAAATCCCATAGGACCACACATCACTTTCAAATGTGTACACACAGTTGAAAATGCTTTCAGGTGCCATCCATTTCACAGGTAGCCGAGCCTGTAACGGAAGTAGAACAGATTCAGCAATGTTAATTGAGAAGATTCAAAAAGCTGAATAGAAAATGTTGCTATAGATGTTGCTCCTGCTGAGAGGTGGGGGTGGGAACTTGACTGTCATATCACAAAAGCCTTTCACCTATATGACCTCAGATGACCCCAGCTATGTCTGAATAGGTGGTTCACAAGTATACTATCCCCATTTTCAAGATGAAGACATTGAATCAGTCCAGTATGGAGGTTAAGATCACAGACGTCAGAGACAGACAGACATGGGTTCTAATCGTGGCTCCACCACTGGCCTTGAGTGACACAGACTTGTTAGTTACCAGTGAGAATGTTTTCCTCTTTTCCCTTAGTAATAGAAACATGGCTCCCCACAGTAAGGACTACATTTCCCAGCTCTTTTGCAACTAGGTATAGTCATGTGACTGAGTTTTGGACACTAAGTTACAAGTGTTGTATGGCAGCTTTAGGAAAATCTCCTTAAAATGTAGCTGGCATGTGTCCTTCTAGTCCCTTCCTCCATCCTGCCTTCTGGATGTGGTATCTAGCTATCTAGCTATCATCACCATTTAAAAATTATAGTAGCTTTTGGATCCATAGCTAGAATACATTATTCTGTTTAATAAAGCACATGTATTGACATATCACAAATTTATTTTTTAATACTTTGATAACTATATTTCAATTTAACTGCTTTTCTTGGTTATCCTACTTATTTTATTTTGTTCCTTTAAAACAGTGTTTTGACAAGCGATGCATAGGCTTTGCCAGACTATAAAAGGGGCTGTGGCACAAAAATGACTAAGAACCCATGTAAAACGAAGAACTTTCAGAAAAACTGACACAAGGAGATCTCAAATGACTATGATGTAAATCCTGGGGAGGTAACATGGTGTGTTAGTTTCCTTGCTTTTTAACTTGTCCCATAAATTCTCCTTACTCAGAAGCCTGGTGAAGGTGACATCTGTAATTAGTTAGCTCAACTGACTTGAGCCGAAGTCCACAATCTGGAAGCCTGGTGGGACCTAACCCATACTTGTTAATTCCAGCTAAGGTCACTAACCAATTACAAGCTATTAAGGGACTGCAGCATAACCATTGTCATGAGTATTTATATTTCAAATAAGACATCTATAAAGAATAGTCAGAATATTAAGTGCCATATAGCTATTAGCTGCAATGTGCCTGGCACTGTTCTAAGCACTTTACATTATATCAATTGATTAAATTCTCATAACAACTTTATGAGGCAGCTGACAGTATAATTCCCAAGAGGAGAAAAACAAAAGTTCAGAGGTGCGAGATAATTCTTGCCAAATATCACACAGTTACTAAATGATGGAGCCAAATTCGAACTCAGCGAGTCTGGGTCCAGAAGCTGCTAGCTTCTTCCTCTTGTCCTTTTGTCACTATTCACAGGCCTGGATAAAGAACCACCTTACATTCTTCCTTCCATTAGTGTACCAGAATGAAGAGAACATGGTTTTAGTAACGCTCCTAATAATGAAATCTAGCCTCGGAGGAGATTTATTAGAATTGCATACTTTCATCAGAAGGTACTGCCAGCAATATTTCTACAAACCCAAGTCAACTACAGCCTACCCACAGATATGCTATAGTGATGAGGGAGAAAATGTTACATTATCATAAGGGACACAAGTAGCTACCGCCAGGAATAAAACTGAACTGTAGAAATGAGCCTGGGAAAACAGTCGTAAAAGAGTAGATATACAGGGCTCCATGGCTTCCCATACTAATGGGACAGTGCTCTAAAAATCACGGACTCTGGTTTCAGCCTCTGCTGACCTATGTCATCTCAGACAAACATCACTGATATATACCAAGCCTTAGTTTCTCCAACTCTTAAAATGTGAAGACACTGCATTCTAATGCCAAGGGTTTGTTCCGAAGACATGATGAAAATTGGCACCCCAATAAAGCACTTCTGTGAAATAAAATCACTATGTTCTATAAACCAATTATTACTTATGAACCTATTTAATAAGCTCTCCATTGATTACGAGATCCAACGTTCTATCTACCTAATTTTGAACACTATCTTAGATTTTAATCTCTTCACATGGCATGTCAATCTCGAAATAAAATTCTCCTGCTGTGACCTTCAGGTCCACATTTGTTTCGCTAGAGCAAAATCTGGTTCATTGCTATTCTCAGGCTATAATGAAAATTAAGGCTATTTCTGTTTCCTTCACATGCCCCATAATTACACAATTAGAATTAGGAATTCTATTATCAGAATGTTAGTTGTAGTAACACTCAGCACGCTATGCAAATTTTGCCGAAGTACACTTAATTTGAATGCTAAAATGCATGATATCTAAGGTAGGATTTGCATTATGAAAATCATAAAAAACAATTCTTACAAAAACTTGAAACTAAAATGCTTCATTGGACTATCAAGCAGAGAGTGGGTACTCACATTCCCTTTGACCACGTAATTAGAATCATTCTTGATGTCTCTGGCTAGACCAAAATCACAAATCTTCGTGATTCGACCATGAGTAAGGAGGATATTTCTGGCTGCCAAGTCTCTGTGAATACACTATTAGGAGAGAGGGGTAGAAAAGAAAGCCATTTAAATTTATTTTAAACTTTTATAGAGGGAAAACTATGTTTAATATTAGATTGCTGCTTATGTTATACAAATCCAATACTTTTGCTTTACATTTAAACTATTCGGTGCACCAAAAATAAATATCTAAATTATGCCTTGAATGATGCTCAAAATTTGTGTTTCGCATCGTTAAGACCTTAATTACTATAATCACTTTCAAAACCAACTTCTTAGGACTGCTTTCATTCATAGGAAAATACACTCTAAATAGTCACATCATATTTTTTACACTGAAAACTCATTTTGCATGCTTCTCTCTGAATGTCCTTTAATAGGGTTTCTAAAATGTCTAAACTTCAATTTGACAGCTTCAAGGACACAGAGAAGAGGCCCTTTATTTCAGCCATCCTATATCCTCTTTTAGTTTGGTAATTGTTTGGAAATGTCACCAATGACACTTAAGGGTCGGATCTGTGACCTTATCCCTATTCTGTTCATCCCATTTCCTAGGGAATTCCTCTCACTCTTCCAGAGACTATGCTCCTTGTTTTGGCTCCATCATTCTCTTCCCACCCCTATCCTTCTCCCAAATGTTTAGTATTCTCTCTGATCCCTTATTCCCCAACACTGCACAAACCATACATGCAATATTAGTTCAACTTTAATAAAACCCTAATATATGTTCACCAAGCACTGAAACTGTATGAGGTACCCTCTGCTTTTGCTGATAAATTACCTATATTCTAAGAGTAACTCCTATATCCTAAAAGCCAAAAGGCTTAAATGGTTTAAATGAATTCATTCCATATAAAAATATTCATAGAAAGCTCATTTATACAGCTTGCTCTTTAAAGCTTACAAATGAGAATGGGAATTCCAAAGAGACAGCAGTTAGAACTTGAAGAAACTAAATTTCCTCTGCTTTTGGTTATAACACTTCAAAACTACATTCTGCATTCTTACTACAGCTCTAAAATGCTCCACTCTGTGTGTGGGGTGGGGCGGAGGGTGGGGGGACCTCTTCTAAGACAATCCCACTTACATTCTTTGAGGCAAGGAAAGCCATGCCCTTTGCCACCTGGTAAGAAAAGCTGAGCAGGTCTTCCAGGTCCAGGGCCAACTCGTCATCTTCCATGATGGCAGGGGTTACGTCTCTTTCTATGTACGAGCCTGTGAGGATGAGAAAGATTTTCTTAGCAATTAAAATCTTAATGGTGAAGAAAATAAGACAGTGACAACAATAACACCAAAGGCAAGTAATGAATGAACTGATGTGAACTTGTATGCAAATGACCTTCCCAAATGTTGAGAACAGGCAGGTGTTGAATCACAAAGTTAATATTCACAATCCTGGGTTAGGTTATAAAATCTTTAAGGGAGAAGGATGGTGGATTAATTTAAAAATCTCATATTTTTGATAGGCGAAACGTAATTAATATAATTTGATAGGCAAAATACATATTTGATATGCATATATTTTTGTAGATGCCGTAAGATACTCAGGTATAATAACACAGGCTCTGACTCCAAGTACTCTCTTTCAATCCTTAACTGCCACTGACCACTATTGGCATTGCCACTGGACCCTTTTGTAAAAAAGAACTGGTCACTACTAGAATGGCACCATATTCTATGGCAGTATGAGAAACCTTCTGTAAATAAAGTTGATTTCATTACTTGTTAGGTACTCACCTATTCTCGCAGATCTCCTTTTGTCTGCCTTGGTTGGTACAACATAAGAAACTCCAGGTTTCATGTCCATGTACTCATTAGTACTATCACTGCTGGGAGAGATGAAACATCCATCAAATCCTGATTGAATGAAATGGGAAATGGGTCGGGGGAGGGGTCACCCATAGAGCAGGCTCTATCTCCCCATCCCTTTTTTACATGATAGCCTGATTTATTAGAAGAAAGTAAGTATTGCCAGGTTTGAATGAAGAAAATCTTATTCAGTAAGAGGTGAGTTTTTAACATTCAACATTAGAGTCCAATCCCCAGGAGTTAAATGGCCTTTTTTGTGTTCAGTAATAGACGAAACTCAGGTTAGAAATCTCCCATCTCTTGGCACCAGAGATTTAATGGAAAATAGAGCCAAAAAGAATTATTCCACATGACTTCAAACTCTCTAAATTAGCCCCAAGAGACACAATGAAAGAGACAAAGAATCAGAGGGTCTGAGATGTGTTATGGGGGAGAAGACAGAGATCGTTAACATATAGTGACTGATGGAAGAAGGTTTAAAAAAACCACGTTTGGTTCAGATAAACACCAATAATTTGGATGATTTTCTGAACCATCTGGACCTCTTGAATCTGCAACATTTGGCTGGAGAGTCTTCAAGATTCTAGTACTTCCTGCTTCTGATTAGCATAGAAACACCATGACAACAATCTCCTTCAGAGTATGCGGGTGGTTTCAGTCCCATATGGAATCCCAAAGCACAAAGAACACCCCACAGGACTGAACAGTTTAGGCTATTATTTCAGAAAGTTAAAAATTATATATGGGGCCAAAAGCAAAGTGGCTCATTTATTCATGTAAAGAACACATGCTCTGGAGAAACTAACAAAAGGTGGTCGGTACTGTGTTTTACTACCGCTTAACACTGTGCAAGTTTACAGGATCAAAAAAAAAAAAAACATTTAAATCTTCACATGGGGATTAAAACTTCAGCCAGAGTTACAGAAAAGGCTTCAAGAGGGAACTGCCAATCAGTAATATTTACTGAGGTCCTTGAGGGCCTGGAGTTAAGAGGCAAGAAGACAGTCTTGCCATCTCAAAATTAGGGGATGTAGTGAATAAAAAGGAAAGCAGAAACCCACCACTGCAGAAATATAAAGCATAAGGGACTGGGTATGAGGAGCATGATTTCTGTTGGCCTGGGCGACGCTAGGAAATCTTCTTAAGTGGGGGATCTTAACAACATTCGGAAAGAACAGGCAAAGCACAACAGAGAAGAATTCTACTCTGGTTGTAAACCACACTGATTCTCCTTAAAGATACTTGATGCTGTTTACACATCATTTAAATTCTGAATGACACCAATGATGAAAGAGATGAAAATAAGGTACAGAATTTCTTTAACTGTGCTATAGTAGTGTGCCTTTTTATAGCATAATGAGCTTTTTTTAAAAAAAGAATAAGGTATATAGAAATAATTCAGAGGTAGATGGTGAGAAACCTACATGCAGAGTTAGGTTCAGAGCTTTCTGACATTTTGTTAAATGTTTTAAAGGAATTTACTGTGACAACTTGACAAGCCTTTGCATTTTCCCTATAAACAGTGTCTCACTGTAACAATGCATATAGTACCAAGCTCCACAGTAAAATGGAATGACATGCAGAACCATGATAGAGGAACAGATATAGAGTTCATTCAGTTGAACGGAACAAAAGCTTTGGGAAAAACTAAAGATGCATTTAAAAATCCAGCAAAAATCTAAGTTTAAGACCCTGAATCTTTAAAAACACTATTTGAACTTTCTAAACTGTTAACCACACTTAAATGATTTAATAATTCTGATTTTGCACCTCAAAATACATCGGTTCATTTTTTTTTTAAGAATCAGCCTTGATTGCAAACCCTTATGACCCCAGAACTGCCCATCAGCAACCAAGGATGTAAGTCAGCCTTACCACGAAGACGTCTTTGAATGCAGAAGGTTTTTATAAAGGGCTGCTTCTGCATGGTCTTCCTGCTTTGAGCAGATAAATGAATCACGTTTTCTCCTCAAAAAGTTCAAAAGATCACCATAGCAACAATATTCTGTAATGACCAGGGTGGGCCCTACAAGCATATAAGGTTTGAAGGAGGTGAGATATATAGACAAATCTTGCTTCCCATAAAAACATTGAAGGGTGACCTGGCCACTAACAATCAAGTTCAATGGATAAGCCTACTGAGTACCAATACGATCCGATCTATTAACACTGGTTATCAAAAAGCAGAGTGAAGTGGATAAAACTAAACAAGCAAGCCCCTTTTTTCTTGAATTTCAGAGTGATTAGGGGCCAGGCATGACTGCTGGTTATACTATTATCAAACTTCCTAAATGAATCCTTTGATTCTTTACTACTTACACACAGTAGGGTTCACATCCTCTCAGTAACATTATTATGGAAATGATGGCACACACTGCAGGATAATAGGAAAACCAACCATGGGGAACAACCAGCTGAGACAAGACTAGAAAGTGGGTGAAAATCTGAAATGATGAGACATCATCACCTGTGTTAATGACAAGGTGTCACCTGTTCTGAGCACTACTAGTCAAACATTTTTTTGGTATTGGGAATGCCTAAAACTGAAACTCTGAAGTTAACAGGCAGCTAATTAACTTGGGCAGAAATTTCTCATGAACAATTCATGATGTCGTGAAGCAACATTTAACAGGACTGTTTTAAGAAATTATATAAAGTTGTCGACTTGACCATGGAGCTATCCAGATCTCAAGGAATAGCTCCTTTCACACAGCTTTGTTCCTACAGACCAAAATGCTTTCTGGAAACATCACTGAAATCCTTGATGGGAGGCTTGACTGATGCTTCAGAATTGGAAATTTATTTTTAACAAACGTGCAGTGTTTGCCTTGTTTGGTGTATATTTGAGAACTGGTAGACTTACAGGGCTATTTTTAATTATGGTATGCAAATAAATATTAACCCTTCAGTGACTAAATGTGATCCAGCAAAATATAAAGCTTGTGAGATAAAACAAAAGTTTTTTGGATCAGATGAGACATTCTTGAGATATTCCAGAGGTCAGTGTTATTGCTGTGACGCACAGGACAGTCACTAAGGTATGTGTTTGGGCTGTCCCAGTCCATGATAAAAACTAAAATATACATTCTTAAGAACAATAGATGGGAGGAAGGATAACCTAGCAAGAGGTAACAATAACCTGGGTCAAAATCTTGCAAGCAGTTTACAATCAAGCATTGTCAAAATTGTATCAAAATCTCCCCTCTTGATAACTTGACAGATAATAAAAGACCAGGTGGTCATGGCTTTACCTCCAATGGTGCATGCTCCAAGAAGATTCACAATATTCATATGATTACCAAGGTAACTCAAGACTTTGAGTTCAGACATTAGAGCTTCTCTTTCCGTTAAATGAGCACTTGCTAAAATTAAAAACATCTTATTTTAGCAAAAAACAAACAAACAATTTTGGCAAACTGATGCTTAGCACATGCACTAGCGTGCAGAAACTTACGTTTGAGCATCTTCACAGCAACGGTCATGGCCGCATCCGATTTAATTAAGCCGTATGCAGTGGCCTCAACAACTTTCCCGAAGGCACCAGCACCCAAAGTTTTCCCTGAAGAAAGGAAGACAACAAAATCAGTGGTGGTGGTGGTGGGACCAAAGGATTATTTGTGTAATTTCAAAATCAACAAATGAATTAGAACACATTTGTCTAGACACATTTCCTTATAATGTGCTTAAGCCAAATCTATCAAAAGTGGTGACATTTCACAGAAAACACTTATTGTTACAGGCAGACTATAACAAAGGAAGCTATTGGGGTTCCCTAAAGTCATTTTTACGTGTACACAAAAAGGTTGTTTGGAAAGCCCATTTCATACTGACCAAAACTCAGCCTGTTTCTGGGAAACTCCCATTTGTGATCATAAGGAAGTTGCGTTGGGTCTATGTAAACATAATTGTTTCCATTTATCTCCTCAACAACCTTCCACTGTACTTCATACATGGGTTTCTGGTAGGGGAGAAAGGGAAAGATGTATCATCTTTTAATGATCAATGTTTTACCCATTAAAGCACTTAGGGTAGAGAACAAATAAGTGGTTACCTGTAAATATTTGTATGTAAGAATCATCACGATGATGCACATCATACCAGCTGCGATCACAAAACCAATCAGCAAAGGCGTGAACAAGGTGTGGGGATGGATTTGTTCTAAAATGAAAGAAGATCGTGGAATCACAACCTATCAGCAAGCTCAGATCTTCACCACAATCACCTAACCCCAAACTCACTCCCTCCCGTCTTACAGCCCATGGCAGGATTCAAAGCCATGCTCATATCAACTCCTTGCCTTGGTTATTTTCTTACTTTGTTATTCAAGCAAATCTTTTAAAATAACTGTAAACCAGACTACTGTGGAACATAAGTTGAGATTTCCATAGCACAAGAATAATTTTAAGCTATTTGTCAATGAAAAACAACACCTAAACGAACTTTGTCCTTCAACCAAATTCCTGCCTTAGACAACTTTAAGAAATTTCCTTTATGGATGGTTTCTATTTTTTTCTTTATGCTTTCCTATATTTTCCAAATTTTCTACGTTGAATATGAATTTCCTCCACAACTGAGAAAAGCGTTTTTAAAGTGTTCTTTTTATTGCCCTGCCTGAAAAAAATCTATGATGAACAATGTAAGATTCTTCCCCTCATTACTCAAAAAATGAAAATATACCACTTTTTTGGCACTCGTCTTTGCCAACACAGGAAAACAAAAACTGAGCCCTAAGAATGTAGGTGCCCAGTTTCTTTGTCTTCTAAATTCATACTAATTCATCAATGTGTTTGCAAGGATCATTTAACTAATGTAAGAGAGGTAGTCACTCATGAATGGAATTTTAAAGATGTTAAAGAAATAACTCACTAACACGATTTCATAAAAGACAGTGTCAATTTTCTGTCTGACAATGTGTTAATATAACTGATTTTAAATAACTGAAATTTTAAATAGAATTAAAATTTTTTATTGTCTTAATTCTATTTCTGTTTGAATTTAAGGTAAATTTAGTCCTCCCTATTTTCCTTCTCTACCCTTTTTTATGGAAACAATTGAAAATATACAATTCATTACATACACACACACACACACATTCACACACATGCATGCATACATATACATATGTGCACACACACGTGAAAAATATAAATAGTGCATGGTCAAAATTACTGCATATATTTTACTAACATATTAGCACAGAATGAAACTTAATGAGTTTGATGACAATATGGTGCAATGTAGATATTACCAGAAACGACATGGCCAATGATGGAATGGATTAATATCATGATTGATATAGCAGAGCCTAAACATCCCCTTAAATTGGATTAAAAAGAAATATACCTTTGCTGTTACCTTTAAATGCAAAGTTAAAAAAGGCAGAACTCTTGCCCACATCGTTGTAAGCCCTACACTCAACCGTGCCATTGAGCTTGAATGCACTGTAATCGATGGAACTTTGAACCACTAGTTTTCCAAATGGTGACACAGATGAGTTTTGTATCTGCACATCCACCGGCCCAACAGGAACTGAACATCTAGGGGGAAGAAAACAACAGCCCAGATTCACTCCAGGAAAATCCACCACTCAATCGAACACCTTGGGTTTGGCGTACTTTTCACACTGAGTTAGGGGGTTAATGATTGGGAATTTCTTTTACAACCAAGAGCTTCCGATGACGAATGAACACTTCTGTGGCACAGTGAACAGGGAAAGCACTGTGGAATAGAAGAAAGTGGGAGATGAGGTTTTGGAATGAGATGTGGGTTAGTTCCTGACTTAAACTCCTATTCTGTCGACTTCTGAGAAGTCACTTAAACTTTCCAAGGATCAGTTCCTACAGCTGTAAAACTGGGATGGTAACACCCGTCTTGGAAAGTTAGTGAAAGGGTTAGCAATGATTTAAATATCCCGGCACACAGTAAACCTTGATAAACATAATAATTGAGAAAGGATGTATGAAGGCTTGAAAAGGAAAAGCATGGAGGAGTAAAGTGTTAAAGTCTCAACAAAGACAACCACATGGCAACCCCCCAAACACCAGCAGCAAGAACCCTGCAGCCCGAGGTTCTATCAAGGGAGGTACAGGTTGTCCCACCGGGCTGCACTCCAGATAGCAAAGACCAGGTTGAGTCAGGCCCTCATGACCCTATTTTAAATTACCCCTCTCCTCCTGCCCCATATGCCTAGCAGTCTTCTATTCCTTCCTTTGCCATGTTTTCCTCCTTAACACTTAACACCTACCTTCATTAGTTGTTTATCTCATCTTTTGTTCATCTCCACCCATTAAAATACAAACTCACAAAGCTGGGACTCAGGTGTGTTTTGCTCACTAGACTAGTATCTAGCATACAGGTGGCACTCCATAAATATTTGTTGAATGGCTGAATGTAACTACCGGGGTTGCTTCCACTGCGGGCACACTTTTTGGGGGTCTTAAACCTCCCTATCATTCCCCAAGGAAAACGTTCCACTAAAACTCAGCTGAAAACAACAATCCTATGTAACCTCTTCCAACTTGTGATAAAAAGATCCATTCAAGGAAAAATAAAATTTCTACTATTATCCTGACTATTCAATTGTGATATTACACTGAGCTTTTAAAGCCTGAGCATAAAATACCATTTGATGGATAAAAACAGCAATGTTGACCCCATTTTCATCTTCAGGTAATATGAAAGAACAATTTAAGGCTTAAGTGTGGATTCTGAGGGAAAGGAAGCACAATGCCAGATGTGCTCTGCTCAGGGGCTGGGCACCTAATCAGGAAGAAAACCATTTAAAACACATAGCTTACAAATGCCATATGTATGTTGTAATTGCACGATCATTACTTTTTGGTTACTTGGCAATTAACTTCTGAGGTAATTTTTTTTATGATAACTATAGTCACACTTCCCACACACATTACCTCCTGTGTATAGAATGGAAATCTAATTACTCTGTCCTGGAAAATTGCTTTATCTACCTGCGGGCTAGAAATTGCATGATAAATCCAAAAAGATAACCGCCAAAATAGAGAAGTCATTCAGTAATCATTTTTCAGCAAACAAAATTAATGTCTACCAAGAAAAATATAGCAATTATGCCCACATGGATAGAAAAAAATAATCAAAACAATGCTTTAAAAATTCTGAAAACATATTTGAAATTCAACCAAATTGCAGTCTTTCCCTTCTGCATGTTAAGTGGTTCCCAAAATAATTATCTCACCTCTGCTCAGTTCCTGGACAAAAATACCAATCTATTGTGGGCTCTGGGAATCCTGCTGCCACACACTGGAGCATGCCATTCATGAGCCTCTCATGAGTCAGGATTTCTGGTTTTACTGCAGGAAGAGAGAAGTGGCCATATGTCAGAGGGCTGGAAAACCTCACCAAGATTCACTCCGCCCTTTCAGAATCCTCAGAACCTTCTTGAAGCTGAGGGAACATGTTATTCACGGGAAGAATCTGAACCAGCAAGTGGAAGGTAGAAGGAGAGGCATGCGAAGGTCAGGCTGAGAAAGGATTTCACAGTCAGAGCTGCCCAGCCCCAGTGCACACTGTTCACCCTGCAGATGTGGGGGTTCTCTGAGAACTTCCTGTTCCAGGGATGGCTGAAGCAAAGGTCGCACGACCACCTGACAGGGTTTCTATTTCCAGCGAGCGGTAATCGGAACGACTGCTTCTAATCGAGACACTAGCGTTCCAAACTGTGAGGTGGAAATTCTGTTGAAGGGAATTCCTGACATTAGGATTTCAAGTTATTGTGGAGACTGGAATGAATGAAAAAAGGAGTTATAGGAAAAGAGAAGAGCCCTCCCCCCGAAAAAACTTCCCTTTTTTTGGAGAGGGACGTGAAGGAATAGTACAAATAAGTAGCTGAATCATTCTATTCACAGAAAAGCAAAAACATAAGAGTAAAATACAATATGCACTTTTAACTCCAAATTTTTATTTCAAATGCAAAATACAGACAGAAAATTATAAGAGGAAACCAGCTCAAGAGTTTTATTCATAATATATCTAAACCTGAGTACAATCACTGAAAAAGTAAATGA